ACACACACACACACACACACACACACACACACAGAAAGATGTACCACACCCCCCCTCACACGCACACACAAACAAACATATACAAACACACACGTACACACACATACAAAACAAACAAAAATAATTTCCCAACTCTTGCCAATACCGGCTGTTTCGAGATAACCAACAGCAGCGACAGCACCACCATTACATTACAACACACAACACATCTTTTACCCTTTTGGAATCTACGACAAAAAGCGACTTGAAAACTGCGTAGGAAGCGTCTTCGGTCCCCAAGCCTGAACCAGGCGGTGGTGTTGACGGTTTGAAACAGGGAGTGGAGGGGCAGTCAGCCGAATAATAATATATGTTGGGGTATCTCTTCTATAGGTGGACGAGGAGGTGGGGGATAATTGATAAAAGAAGATGAAAAAAAAGTGGAAAAGCCTCAATACTCTATTAAAATTCACAGCTAGGCCTAGGAATGACGTGAATGAAATTCTTGCGGTGTTTTTTTTTTCCTGTTGATGGGTGTGTGTGTGTATGTGTGTGTGTGTGTGTGTGTGTGTGTGTGTGTGTGTGTGTGTGTGTGTGTATAGTGTATATGTTGTGTGTAAGTTTGTATGTGTGTGTATGTATGTTGTATGTTTGCCTGTCTGTGTGTGTGCGCTCTCACGTGTTTGAGTGTGTACGTGTGTTAGAAAGTGTGTGTTTGTATGTGTGTATGTGTTTATGTACGCACTCACGCAAATATCACACCCTTTGTGAATATGTTTTCTTGTGTGTATGTGCGGTTGTGTTGGAATAGGGGTAGGTCGTATGTCTGTGTATGCGTGTATGTGTCGTATGTGTTGGATTTCCTCTATAACGGTGTGGTACAGAAAACTATAGATCTAATCTGTGGGCGGTGACAAGTATAGACGGGCTTTTAAATATAAAAGCCATGGGATTGCCTACGTGATTCAGAAAAGTTTCAAAGCATCTGTGACTTCAGACTGACAGTTTCATTCCTTTGAGTTTGTCTTGCCCTCAAAAGAGCCTTGCCATTCGGTCCTATGAGCCCATGACATCCCACATAAGCTATAATGGGAAAACAGTAATCTTACTGCTCCAT